TAAGGCCAAAGTGGAAGTGGCATAAACGTGCATTCGTTGTCCAGCAGGGGGCGACGCCTCTTCTTTCTAATTGTCTTGAAGTTTATGAAAAAATGCACCCACTGTTCATGTTTCTCTAATTATGTTGTGCTTTCATTTGCTAGTTTCAAGTTGCATTGAACACGATGTGTAAATTATGGTTCCATGTAGAGCAAAACAGACAATAAAATGGGGTATATTATAGATCACAGCTACTGTAGCTTTGTAGTCTAGGTTTCTGGACAACACAGATATACTGGTCAGCATTGGTCAGCACATGCAGCTATAAAAGACTCGATCAATTTTGCAGGAATGCGACAGCTCGGTTTCACCTCCTTTTTAACCGAAGTCAGTCTAAAGTTTTCCAAAAGAGCTTGATTGATGGGAAAGTAAAATGGGACGGAAACAGAAGCAAGAAATGAGTTCTGCTACTCTGTTTAGGATGCATCTGGTGAGAAATTTGTCTTTTCTGATTTTCTTGCTTTTCTCCCTCTGTTGATCTTCTTCATCCTCTCTCGCCCTCTTCTTCTTCTGCCAGCCCTGTCCCTTTCATAAAACTACCACATTGTGCATTTGTGGCCTAGACATGGAGGATGTTTTTTCCTGTAGCTGCCAGTTCAGTTCATGTGGACTGACCATTGAGAGGTCAAGAAGAAGGAGCCCTGCACTGATTAATCTAACGTCTTTATTTGTGATCTGAATTAAGAATGCTGAAAAATGTCTTCCCGATATCGATCTGTGAAGTCTTATATTTGTGTTTTCTGATATTGAAAAGTCTGGTTTTGATTTTTTCTTCTTTTCTTTCACTCATTCCTTCTCCAGGAGGCTTTATTGAAGATTTGCCCACAATCGGCTGTGTGTTTTATCAAAATAAGACTGGCAGCTCAAAGCTCAGCGTGCAGCGTCTGAAAGAAAAAAGTGAGTCAGATGTAGAAAGAGATTCAAACGTGAACATTGTTCCTTTGTGTTCCTTTTATGAAGTTATTTTGAAACAGCAAATTGAATATGTCCTTTTGAATATGCGATGAACTCACTGTGCTGGAAGGATTTTCAGTGTCACTGCACTGTCTCTTCTGCATTTCATATGCTGTATTATTTTTTTTTGCCCTTTGTCCCTCGCTTTCAGCTTTCGTCTTATTCCACTTTAATGTTTGCAAACTAATGTCTGTTGTTTGGCCCATTTATTCATAATATACTTCTTTTATATGCAAAAAGAAAAAAATACACATTGGGAAATATCAACACTGTGATGGTGGTGTGCTAGCCTAGCATAGTAGAGTGTAAATTATGTAAATGGATTGCCTGGCTCTGTGCAACAGTATTGAAATTTGCCTAATCAGCACCTCTAAAAGCTCACAATGTGTAACAATGAGAAATAACTTTATGGAGGTTGGGGTGGGATTGTTCTCTTTGCTATTCTTGTTTTTGTTTTTTGAGTGGGTGCAACTTAGAGTCGTCCTCCCAGGAAATGACTATACTCTATTTCCATTTGTGTTTGTATCTATTTCCCATTTTCCTAGCAAAATATGAAGAAATTATGCGCTTTTGTACAGTATAGTGGGATGCTTAGCATTTTGTTACCTTTGGAAAAAGCTGAGCTGTTTCGCTGTAATTCCCCACTTTATGCTAAGCTATAGCAAAAAGAATGATATATAACTATGGAAGGACAGAGAGCTGAAGTAGTTTTAAATGAAGTCTAGCTGTCTGACTTGTTGCAGCTCTTTGCAGATAATTTGAAGCTTCCTGATATGATACTTCTAGGTCATCCAAACAGTCATCTAGACAGGAAAACATCAGAGCCATCGCATCGCTTTATCTCAACAAAAGCCACCCTGTACTTATCATCACAGTTTGGCTAAATTGCAGAAATTGGTGACACAAGACTCAATGTCCTATTTTCATGTGTTTTCTTCATACATTCGATTTTGAAACATCTTTGCACGCACTGTTATTGAAGAACTGGGTTAGTTTAAGTACCGGTATGGATGTTCAAGCGGGGGTGGAGGCATGCTCAGAGCTTCTTCCCTAGTGTGCTTCCCGGGGATAAATGCGAACAGACACAGCTTGGACAAACAGGGCAAGTCATCCGCAGAGCATTTTGCCCCCTCCAGCATCTTCAAGTCAACAGTGCATGAGTGAACTCCACCAAATGTGTTGTCAGAAATATCTCCAGCCTGCTCATGAACACGGATGGTTTGATTTTAAGTCATTACAACTTAACGTTCCTGTCTTTTTTATGCGTTGGCATAAAAGCATAAATATGGCTTGAATTTCGTTTTGTTGCCTTGAAAGCTTCCAATAAGACTGTTGCCTTAAAAGTTAAGTACAACCAGGAGAAACTTAAATAGATGATTTATTCAGTTATGAAAAATGTGACCTCTCCTTGTACTCTTTACGCAAATACGTAATGTAAAAATACAATACTGTGCAAAAGTCTTGAGCCACTCTCATTTGTTTAGGAGGTGTTGCTTTTAGCAATAGTTCTCTAAATGTTCTGAAAGTCTTTTGAAGGTTTTATTTGGACATTGACTGCTTTTTCACTCATTTTCAGTTGAGTCCTAGTACCTGACCATCTTCAGAGTAACATAAAAAAAACTTTTTTTTCCTGACTCTGTAAAAATTGTCAAAGATAAAAAGAGTTTGATCAGTATAAAATAATATTATTACACCAACAAGATGATTTAAAGCATGGTGTGAAGTGTGTTCTTAAAAAATTTGAGGAGACTGGAGAAATGGAGGGCAAAAGAAGTAGTGGCAGAAAACACAAATGTTGAGTTTTCAGGGCAGTTTCTGTGGTATGAATACAAATAAACCCAGAATCATTTGTCTTATGGAGTCCATGCTTTCCTGGGTCAGGGCTGTTCTGGCAGCACAAGTTCATGTTTCTTGTAATTCTGCATACTACATACTGCATACATCTACTACAGATTAACAGTATCTGAAAGTCATGTTCTTAAAAAATAGAAAAACAAATCCAGCAAATGCCTGACACAGGCCCTGAGAGATGCATCTGGTCCTTCAGCTGATCCATCTACTGTTCATTGAAGACTCAGCAGAAATGGTCTCAGTGGAAGGGTGGCTGTCAAGAAGCCATTTTTAAGGAAGGAAAACGGGGAGAAAAGGCTGAGGGATGCCAAATTACACAAGAACAGAGTGTCTGCAGCCATCTCTAAGACACGACGGAGGCTCTGTTGTGGTTTGGGGCTCTATCTCAGGCAGTGGTGGAGATGTTAAAATTGATGGAATTATAGAATCGGAAAAGTACCATCAGATTTTGATCCACCATGCAATACCATTTGACTGGCAATGGCTTCGTTTTTCAGCATGACAATGATGCCAAGCACATCACCAGTGAAGAAAAGAAAAGAAACATGACATAAAATACAAGAACGCTTGCCTGAGAGACTTTAGGCTGTGTTGAAGAATAAATGTAGTCATGCCAAATCTTGGCTTTCAATGTTAGAATTGTACAAACTATATTTTTCCCTTAGATATTGTATTCCCATGCAAGTTTGTGTTGCACCTATTTCTCATTTTCCTTGCAAAACATAAAGGAATGAGTGGTTCTAGAAATGGTGGCACAAAACTTTTGCATAGTATTGTGTCTGCTTTTAGACAACAGCATCCCCTTTTCTTTGACTCGTAAAAAAGACCAAAAAAAAAGGAAACTGTGGTTGTAGTGGCAAAGCTCATCTACAGTCTGGCTAATTGGCAGGTTAAAGCTTCCTGTCACTGATTTCCAACATCAGCAACAGCTTCTCTCGCCCTGCTTTCTCTTCTGAGAGGGTAAAACACCCTGGAGAGCTGCTCCCAGACATCAACACATCACTTTGCCAGAATTCCACACACACACAAACACATACAGCCAAGCAGACGACAGATGTTCCAAAATACCACAACAGTGCCGATGCAGGCTGGGAAAAGCCCTGTGAGGTTTACATTGCTTCACTATAAAGCTGCCTAGGGCTTTTAAGGTTGACGTGAGCGACAAGCAGACTTTGTGAGTCAGGAATCAGGAAGACAAAGAATAAGGAAAAGTGTCCTAACACAGTGAGGTATTTGATTTCTTTTCATTTCCTCATTTCAAGTTGTGCAACAACTTCTTTTTTCCCTCCTGCGCTGCCTTTTATGAACGTTTGTATCAGTGTGGTTCAGGGCAAGAGAGGTGAAGGAGTCGTGTGTGGGAACTACAGCAGGAAGGAAAGCGCAGCTGGGAGTTTTTGCCTGGAGCGAGACAGACTGGAGGTCTGTAGCATAAAAGGAGGCAAAAATAGAGGCAACATAAAGAAGAAAAGGAGAGAGAAAGAAACGAGCAAGGAGCGCAGACGATGAAGAGAAGATGAGAGGACGTAATGAGCTTTGACAAGAAGTGAAAGTGGACTTCATGAGGAGGAGTAGGGTGGAGACAAGAAGATAAGATAGGGAAGGGAAACTTTCCTCCACACCCCTCTTGGGGGAAAAAAAGAAAAAGAAAGGATGGCAAGGCAAATAGCACAGTCACGCCACCTTAACTCATTTCTACACCTGTGCATTTTAAACATGTAGATTTAAATCTTCCTGTCAGAAATCACGCAGGAAGGCGGCCAGCTTAAACACACGATAATGAAAACCGGACCTGGACCTGCACACAAGCGCTGGCACTGCCTTAGACCCGCCACGCCAGCTGGACGGGGTTTTATTCAAATCTGTTGTAATAAGCAGAAGTGCGTTGTGTTGCTTCCGAGGACTTTGCTCTCCAACAGTGTGTGAGAGTTGTGCTTTCTGCACCCCCATCTGCACTCGCCACTCTCTCCCTCTGCTAACCTGTAATTTGATGTTTGTGTACATACCTGCACATGCACACCCACACGCTCTACTCTCTCTCTCTCTCTCTCTCGCTCTTGCTTATATGTACACTTGCACACGCTCTCTCTCGCTCTTCCTCTGAGCAGCAGGTCCCTGGAAGCAGCCAGACTGTCACTGACTGCTGCTAGCACATGCTCGCTCTCAGCTCGGCACTTTCTTCAGTAGCTGCCAAGAGAGGAGGAGGAGGAGGAGGAAAAGTGAGGCTGGAAGAAACAGACTGAAACACAGATAGAGAACAGAAAGAGAGAGAGAGAGAGACTTGGACCAACCTGTGACTGCTTGCCTCTGCCCGGCTGACTGTGTGTGTGTGTGTGTGTGTGTGTGTGTGTGTGTGTGTGTGTGTGTGTGTGTGTGTGTGTGTGTGTGTGCGCGAGACTGGAGGGAGACTACAAGTGATGCCTCACACAGTCCCGAGCAGCACATAGCCAGGACTTTGCTCAGCTTTCTTTGCCCCCCCTATACCCCCCTCCTTCTGTTTCAATGATGAGAAGAGATCGCATCTTATTAGCTGTGACCCTCACGGCCGTCTTCTCCGCCGACCTCTACTTCATCCTCTTGCCAAAGATGCGGAGCAAGGGCCTGACATCGGGACACTCCTGCTCATGTGGCCCCAACAAACTCACCCTCCCCCCCAGCCAGGGGGGTCTGGCCACGCCGCAGCTCTCCAACTGGACTTCTGCACCACTCCTGGACGGCACCACGTCTGAGCCTGCGTACGGAGGCTCAAAACTGGTGAGGCTTTTCTCTCACCCTCTATACAACATCCAGACTCCGGCTCTGGGGCCAGAAGAGAGACTGCTGCAGGTGGAACAGCTGATTGACTACTATAGGAGGAAAGTGTCGCACTGGGAAAGGTCAGTTTCTGGTGTCATGTTTCATCATTCTAAATTAAGATAATGTTTGTTGTGACAATAATGCCACTGATTTTGCAATGCGTGACTTGACGGAGTTACTTCACTTTATTGTTAAATTGCGTGTTCGTTTTGGCTCAGAGTTCCCACTGTGGTAGCACGTGTTGAGGCTTGACTGTGGTCAGGAGGCAGGGTCAGTGACACTGGGGCCAAACCCACCCGAGGCACACACACAAACACATATCCATGAACTTGGATGCACTTTGTTCGTGGTGACAGGCATACACCCACAGACAGACATCCGGATCTGTAGACAATTCTGTGCGTCATAAAAACTCCAGTGTCATGTGGGCTGGGTCAGAAAACCCTGACAAACACGTCACTTCTGAGAGCCAGCATCTGGAACGGTTTCTTTAAGGTAAACAAGGATTTTTAAAACTGCCGGGGCCCATCTCAATCTTTGGGAGTTGTAGCCGTCTTGGCTTGTGAGGCTGTCTGTCTGTCTCCCTCAGAGAGATATAGATATTGGGCTCTCACAGTGGAAAATAAGAAGAATTATGAGCAATGGATCTCCCCGCTGTGCTGCCTTACAAATGTGCACTAAAAAAAAGGCAGCTCACAGGCTTGTTATTGCAAAATATTGCAACAGCGTCTAAACATCACATCTACTGCATTCGTTGTGTGCATTCGTGACTTATCTGTTTCCCACAGTGTGTGTTTGGATACACGCTCTGCTGTCTGCACTTGTCCAGCGGCCTGATTACTCTGTGTCACGTCAAATTAAATGAATGAGGTGGTAGGAATGACAGAAAAACAAACTTCTATTCTTAGCGCTTTGCTCCATTATCTCATTTTGTTATCCGGTCTGTGATGGAGTTTGTTTGGGTGGAGAAATGGCAATCCCACTCACTGTGGTCATGTGGTGCCCCTCTTACCACAGACAGTATTTCTTTTGGTATCAGTTTATTCTTATTCCTACTTGGAGGGGAAAGGGGGCTGGGCAGTTTAGATTTGTTAAAACTCAATTTAGAAACAGTAAAAAGCCTGTATATAAGAGACTAATAAAACTTGGCTGACTATAAATGACTAATGGAGGCAGGAGTAAAGTGGTAAATAGAACAAGTACTTTATAACACAACATGTTTTTCTTTCCTTTGCTTTAAGCATGTCATCTTAGGTTCAGTGTAAGCATCTCTTTAAATCAGCTACTCTGTTGTTTTAAATAACATAGGATTAACAATGGCTTTACAGAAAATTGATGTGTTTACATATGTTAACCATTTATTTAGGGCTCTGATAATAGGGAGTTGACAGCATCCTGTATCCCACAGCTAACATCTGTCCTATGTGTTATTCGTCTTCCTCAGACATATGAAGCTCTACAGTCTGGCAGCGGCTCTGGCTAACATCACTGTGACTAATCATGAGGTGACCTACGACCCTGATACCAGCTGGCTGAAGTTCCACCTGGGAATAAACCGCTATGCTCTGTACTCCCGTGATGACCCTACTGTCCTTCAACTTATCAAGGACATGCAGAGCATGACAGTCATCAGTGCAGGTGAAGGTCAGATGGGATTTGGAGCGTCTAGCTCGATGATGTCAGGGAAAGATTATCGGCTTCCTGTGTTTATGCTGTACTGTCATATCCCTCATGGGGTCTAATTTTGTGAACTGGGTGGAATTTTACATGTAGTGCAGTATAATTGAATAAATATGCAATGAAAAACGCTTCTGTTAATATAGGACAGATGTAGGAAAGATATAATATAATATCAGTACAAGAGCAACCAAACAGCTGATTGTATTGTATTGTAAAGCTCCTTTACAGCACAGGACTCTAATGTTTTTTACAGTAAGGACTGTTCAGCTAGCATTTTATGCAGATGGCAAATCTAGCACCCATTACTTTTCTGGAATTAGACAGGTACATTCCCTGCACTAAGTGTGCTAATTTATTACCTAACAAGTTCATTGTCTTACAGATTACACTCAAGATGAGAAAGCCCTAAAAGGAGCGTGTGATTGCACCCAAGGTATGACAACGTCATCGCCACCTGTAATGAGCCTTTTATCCATTCGGGGATTTGGGCTTTTATTTTCTTTACCTCATATCTCATGTTGTGCAACCGCATGAGTCTGATTTCTCACTAGCCTCTTTGTTTCTCTTTTTGTTTGTCTGCCTCTCTCTCACTCTGCCTTTTCTGCTTGGCAGTACCATGAGAGACAAACACACTGTTGCCTTTGTGATAGTGAGGATTTTTGGTTTTTCTATTGGCACCAAAATCCAGATTTGTCTTTCTGTATAAGACACTTTGCTCTGGGGGCAAATAAAACCCAGGAATTAGTCTGCGTTCAAATGCAGAGCTCCTAATTAAGCGTTTGATGTCTGCACGCGCCGAGGGAAGCCAGCGTTTCTTACCACCTACGCTGCCATCTCCTACTTTACTTCTGAGCAGCACGCAAACCAAAGCTACGGATGGATAATTGAAAGTTAGTGACGTGCCAAACAATAGATGCTACTGAGCTGTTCACTAAGTAAGTGCTGTAAAAGCGTCGCAGGTAGAAATGTAAACATTAAGGAGGACAAATAGCTCATTATTGGTTTTATATGTTAAATTTTTCTCCCAGCTACGTTTCTTCTTCTTCCACGCTGACTTGTCTGACCTGTCTCGTCTGTGCTTTGTCAGCATCCCTGCGCAGTGAAGTGCATGGCCACACAAACATCACTCACTGCCAAGAAGAAACAAGCAACAAAACAATCGCTACCCCCCACAGTTTAAATTTAACCTTCTCATTATTTCAGTCACCAAAGAGCGACGTAATTCATCGGCCACAGAAGCTGTTTGTGCCAGTTGGATTCGCGTTGAGTCATTTCCAGAAATGGTTTTATATTATAAACCTTGCTTGATTGTTAACTATTAAGAACCTGGAGTTTCACTGAGCACTGTGGGGAGGGGGGTGCTTGTATGTGCTGATCTGGACTACTGCTGTGACACAATATGGAGCCAGTCAGAGAAAGCGCAGGGTGCATCCAATTACCTTATTACTCGGGCGAGGCCAGACAATGATTCACATTTTGCAAATCTAAAATCTCAAAATAATGAGTCAGTTTGCATGCTGCTCACTGTTTGCTTTTCCCTGGCCAAAAACATTGAGATAAGTGTGGAGTGGAAGTCATGTAGGGCAAATGTTGTGGTACAAAAAAACGTCTCGATCTCGCACCACACATCATGTTTCTGTGTGTCTTCCCACAGTGGTGAAGCCCAGCGGACATCACCTGAAACTGGCCCTGAAAATGCGCAACCTAGCTAAAGCCATGTTTAAACCAATGAGGTGAGGAAATCTAGTTGGTTATTTTCAGTTGGTGAAATCAATGAAATCACACAAAAACATGAAATGCTGAGTTAGGTAACATAGACTGTGTACTGTAATAGCATGCTATGTCATGTTCTGTGTGAATTTATGTCAGTCAAAAGCCTCGAGTTGGCCACCTGTAATGTCTTGATTATATATTGCAGAGTGTTGGAACTGACAGTTTGATCGCTCTGTGTGCGTGCACGTGTGTGTTTGTCTGTGTGTGTGTGTGTGTGTGTGTGTGTGTGTGTGTGTGTGTGTGTGTGTGTGTGTCAGGCAGCAGAGGGACGAGGAGACTCCAGAAGACGTCTTCTATTTCGTTGACCTCCAGAGACACAATGCAGAGATTGCTGCTTTTCATCTGGACAGGTGCAGCCTCATTATCCCTCACTGTTTTCACGTCTTCTCGGTCATTGCTGTTAGACTGGGTAATTTTAGTGTCCTCTCACTGTGGTTATATGACTGCTTGGCTTGCTGGGGGTAATTTTAGTGTTGATTGCACACATGTTATTTTATTGATCTCAGTTACGTCCTTGTATATATAAAGGTACTATGACTGTTTTTGGAGGGAGGACGAATGCGACCAAATGGGAGGAAAAAAAGCTTATTTATCACTTTGATTCATTTTCTTTTTTTCTTAGTCAATTATCCAATTCATTTCTTGAGGGGAACGATAACATCTGATCCAGATTTCATTATAATCCATAAAAATGACCAAAAGCCAGCCCCAGCTTCCTCCCACAGTCAGAAGACTTGCATGTTAGGTTAATTAGTGAGTCTAAATAGCCAGAAGGTATGAATGTGAGTGACAGCTGTGGACAGATAGCCAGTCTATTGCAGTGCCAATACACTGCAATAGACTGGCTATCTGTCTGTGGTGTACCCTGCCTCTAGCTGTATGCCAGCTAGGCTCTGCCACCTCTGTGCCTCTAAATAACTTCAGTGACTGATGTCATCACAGCAGGCAGCATGGTGGTGCGATGATTTGCACTGTTGCCCCACACCAAGAAGTTCCTGGGTTTTAATCCACCATCTGGCCATGGCCTTTTTTGTGTGGACTTTCCACATTCTCACCATGTCTGTGTGGGTACTTCAGCTTCCTCCCACAGTCCAAAGAACATGCTATTAGTGGGGTTAGGTTAATTTGTGGTTCTAAATTGCCCATAGGTGTAAATGTGAGTGTCTGTGTTGGCCAGGATGTACCCCACCTCTTACCTTAAGACAGCTGGGGTAAGCTCCACCTTGGTTTGTGATTGGTTACACTAAGAATGTGAATATAGTAAACAAACAAGCTTAAAATCCGCATGGTTAGATGACAGTATTTGGACACTCAACGATAGACTGTATATAAAAGATGGATGCATGACATCACATTTTTTAACTTCTATTCTAAAGGCTCAATTTTGTTATTATGAAGCCAGAAAAAAATTGCATTTGAGGGAGGTGACAAAATTCTTAGTTATCCCAAATGCTAGCTAGTTAGGCTAGCAAGCTGCATCCACATACACAAATGTTTGCTAATTAGTGCTAATTAATAAATAGCCTACTTGCATTAAAAATGCTCCAAAAGGTACTGCAAACATGGTCGAGAGATACATTTTAGTTACTTGAATAAGCTAAGAAGCACTTGGCAGATGTGTCTAGCAACTACAACTGCCGGTGTTAACATCAAAGTGTCATGTATCAATTTGTGGCTAGCAGTTTTGCGGACCCAAATTGCAGACATGCAGATGAAAATTAAAGAATTTGCCCCAAGTGACCTTTCACAAAATTCTTATTTTAGATTTTTCCATTTCCATGCTGAAGTTTACATCCTGATGTTAGGATCGGGTCTAAACTTTGTGAAACTCTTTCTAAAACGTATAAAACAAAAATCCTAAAATTGACCAAAAATGAATCCAATTTAATTCAGTTTTTTTTCTATAGCGCCAAATCACTACAACAGTCATCTAAAGGCCCTTATGATTTTGTAAGGTCAAGACCCTATAATAATAATCCATTTTTAGATTTATGGATCCATCCATTATGTCTTAGAGAGAAAGTGATGAAATTAAAGAATCCTCAGAGACGATGTGGCAGCATTCTTGTAATAGCGAGATTCAAAAACATCCTTAAAATCCCAAACCGTCTCCAACAATTAAGTCTAAAAAAACAGGTCCCCCTGTGCGAACGAATGTATCATGGAGCCTCGAAAAAGATTGCAACATTTTGGCACACCCTCAGATTTCCCAACTTGCTGATCAGTTCGAACCACAGTGTTTGGACACAGATGAGGACACACTTATCTTTATGCAATTACACATTAGCTGAGGCGAGGTGATTCACTCATCTGAACTAGACGGTATCATTAACAGACCCACACACACACAGTGTTAAGTCACAGACAGAAAACAACTCCAGCACCACGTCAACAGCTCGAACAATTACTGTAATTACTCTCAAACAGTGCCTTTTCTCCTTATCTGCTCATACTTTATCAGTTATTCTTTAAAAAGTGAGAATGTTGTACAACTCCTGTTCCTGTTTTCTTTTTTTAAATTTTAATTTGCTATGTGTGTAATCTGTGGCAGTGTGTTGCCTCTCTCTCTTCGTTGTGTCTCACTTGCCAGAAGCCCTCATCATTATCACTCGCAATCAGGGGCTGGGGAATGCCAACCATTTTAGAAACAGCAATTCGGCATGACACGCTGATTGTTGTTTGATTACTATTTGCGAGACATGACTAAAACTCTGCCTCTGGGGAGTACAAGCTCTCGATAGTTTATATGAACGCAGCCAGCTGGATTACACAGCACGGCGGCTGTCAAGCGGACTCATTCACTGATAAGAATCAGTAAAATCAGTGAAAGTGGAGCGTGGGCTCCTGTGAGATGAGGATTTAAAGTTAGATAAGACTACCATCACCTTTGGAAGGTTTACACTGCATTAATATTTATGCCAGCACGAGCTGTCTCCCTACACGAGTAAAAGGTTTTCCTCTGAATCACATCAATATATTTTCTAGGATCCTAGACTTCCGGAGAGTTCCTCCAGTGGTTGGCAGGCTGGTGAACATCACTAGTGAAGTCCTAAAAGTAACCCAGAATGAAGACCTACGAGCTGTGTTCTTCACCTCCCCGGGTAAAAAAAAAAACCACATCAGTTCCTCAAAGTAATACCTTTAGATTAGACTCAACGGTTATGCCTGTATGTTAAATATAAACTCCTTTACAATAGTTCAAATACTTGATTGACACATGAATAGTGTTTCTCAGTAGCTGTGCATCTGATTGGGAGCTTGTTTATCTCTGCCCTTTGCATATCTTTGCAAACAAGCATGTCTGCGTGAAGCTAAGATGATCCGCGAGTTATTTTTTACTCAGTTTGATGTTTGTTTGTGTTTTTCCTTGCTGTTGATATGGCATCCAGCTAGAGGGAAAGGCAGAGCTGATTGGAAAGCATGTAATCGGAAGTGAACAGAAAAACTCATTTTGCATTCTTCCGTTTTTGTTCTGCTTCCCAAACAGCAAACAACACTTGTTTCTTTGCCAAGTGCCTGTATGTGTGCAAGACAGAATATGCAGCGTGCGGGAGCCCCGACCTGCTGGAGGGCTCCCTGTCCGCCTACCTGCCGGGACTCAGCATTGCTCCCCGCATCTCCATCCCCAGCCCGTGGATCCGTTCCTACACCTTCACCGGACGGGAGGAGTAAGACCTCGTTTTTTTTAATGCAGCACAAAACTGTTTAACTGCCAGCAAGCATTCTGCAAAATGGTGAGCTGGCGGTTGTTGATGGCAGTTGTTCAGCTTGAGGCTGAAGGGATGAATTTTTCAGCAGTTTCAAGACAAGCTGGTTGATGCACGAGCCAAATTCTTAAATGATTTCAGCTTTACTGACACCAGTTATTATGCAGAATGCTTGTAAATTCACTGGTAAACAGTGCATTCAAGTTCATTCTTGGCACACAGTCCACTGTTGCCTGCAAGATTTTAGACTTAAAGTCTGTTTTCCAGTGACCAAGCCTGTCATCAACTTAGGTTAGGCCAAATCTTGCCAACAGAGAACCGGTCCAAACATCACTTTAGTTATGAGAGTCAGTTTCATTTAGTTTATCCAGACAGGAAGCAATAAATTCCACATTTATCAGAAGCTCCTTAACCAACACACTCTTCCTGTCCTGCCTAGATTCCAATCAGTCAGCAATTTTTATGGACGATGATGTACTCTGTCACACTGCAAAGCAGCTAAAACCGCTCCCTTCAACCTGATAACGTTAAAATAATGAGACGCTTGTCTCAGAGTCTTTATCTTAATGCAGTCGAGAATCTGTGGAAGCTCACTGAGGACAAAATTAAGGCTCCATCCTGCAGGAACAGATGTCCTCAAGTCATTCCAAGAAAGTGGTGTCCATCACATCCTGCCGGTTTTTGAAAACTGGAACAATAATAATTTTCTGTATTTTGCTACTAATTGCTGCTGTGGTTACTGTTCTGTGACTCCGATCACAATTCTTTATAAAACTAACCATTTAAGTTTTTAATTCTGATATAGAATATTATAGTTTTGTTCACTTTAAACAGAAATAAGTAGTGGCGGTGGAATTCAGGAAAATATAATAATAATAAGACAACAATATTTCTGCTGTGTATATGCAGTTAATTTAATGGATATTTCTTGCTACTAAAACATGAGTGTCATTTTCCATAAATCAGAGTGCAAGATTTCAAAGACTCTTTTATTTACTATAGCATCCATTATTTTTAAGGCCTCCAAAGTCAGATTGCACAAGTCAAATGAAAACCACTTCCTGTTTTATATCATTAAAACACCTCAGTGACTTTGTCACACAAAATAAATGAGAGGCCTCCTGACTCTGTTATCTGGTTACATCATTGTAATAACATATTAACATTGTACTATATAATGCATTTTAGAGCATCCTACATCCAGTTGATGCCTTTTAAAGGGAAGATTTTGCTTATTTTTGCAAGACTAACCAGATTCTGCAATTACCACAGGTCTGTAGAGTTATTACCAGTTAATTACATTTGGGGCCTTGTGAAATTAAAAAATGTGGCAAAGCAAGCACTAAACTGTTAAGATGTAAATAAAATAAAATACAGCATCTGTCTACTCAGTTCTGAATGCTTGCAGAGTGTTAAGAAATGAGGGAGGTAACACAGTGTTACACATCAACCCCTTTGTTTTGCTGGAGCATCACATTGAAAGTGAGCAATAAAAAGTTGTGGCTAATTTATTTTAATTGCTTCATTTTCCAAAGAATATTCTCCATCGGCTCCTTTTAATTTCCTCTCGTTTATGCTTCTTTCAAAAGGTGGGAAGTGAATCCTTTCTACTGCGACACAATAAAGCAGCAGTACCCCTATAACTCAGGAAACAGGCTCCTAAACATCATAGACATGTCCATCTTCGACTTTCTCATAGGTATTTCATTACCTCTGCATTATAAACTGTTCATGTAGCGTCAGATATTTTATATTGCGGAAATCTAGCTACACGTGTAGAGATTTGTTCCCCTCGTTAAAGTCACGCCTTCGTTACAGGGAACATGGACAGACACCACTATGAGATTTTTACCAAGTTTGGGGATGAAGGCTTCCTTCTTCACTTGGACAATGCCAGAGGGTGAGACAGAACCGCTGCTGAGCACTAAATGATGCTGCTTTTGTTCGCTGTCGGGGTTTAACGTGTGTTGTTTATGCACCAGGTTTGGGAAGCACGCTAAAGATGAGATGTCCATCCTGTCTCCACTGTCCCAGTGCTGCATGTGAGTATGACTCAGTCTATGGAAGTTGTGTACATAAGGGCATAAGTAAAAAAAAATTTAATAAAATCTGTGAAGGAATTAAGGAAACTAATTTCTCTTCTCCTGTTGATCGTGTGTTCTGCCCTGTCCTCTTACCCCCAGGATAAAGCAATCCACACTACTAAGGCTGCAGCTCCTGGCCCAATCAGAGTTCAGGCTCAGTGATGTGATGAGGGAGTCCCTGCAGGAAGACTCTTTAAGGCCCATCCTGACAGAGCCCCACCTGTTGGCCCTGGACCGCAGGTTGCACAAGGTCCTCCGAGTGGTCCACCAGTGCGTCCGGAGGCTGGGCAAAGACGAAGTGATCACTGAGGACTTTTTTAAATCCACAGTGACTCCCGAGGCTGCCACAGACGGGACGATGCAAAGGTAACAGAGGATGCGCTCGGCTTCTGGCTGCTCGGGAAGAGACTCGTATAAATAAGACTCGATAAATTTTTAGGAAAAAGCCGTGAGTCTTCATCACAGAAGGAAGGAATCTCTGACACCTTCACATTTTTAAATAAAGACCCTGTTTTTTTTTTTTTTAAATGAAATAAAATGAAGCTTTGTGAGTGGAAACTTACAGCATCTGATATGTAGAGCCACCACTGGATCAGCTTTTTTTTTTTAATGATTGTTGGTTTACACTGTGGATGTGGAAAGAGAGCTCTGCGTGTCCGTGACATATAATCAGAAAATAAAGTCTTTATGTGATGATTCTGCAAGTTCTGAGGAGAAGTTATCACCTTAGAGCGGCAGACTGTGTGTGCGCGCGCTCAGCCATATGTTTGTGAGAAAAGTGCTACCTATTAAACAGCCACTTAGTTTACTCCACCCTGTTTTCCAGACTTGTAATCCTCCGTCTCATCAGAGTGTTTAAACAGCTTCACAACGTCACCGTCAGCTCCGCCAGGCAAGGATACAGAAACAGCAAACCCAAAACAATTAGCAAATATGCATTTCGTTGCACCACAGTAATAACTCTCACCCAAGCGGACTTGTGTGAGGTTTTCGTCTGAACATGTCAGAGCTTTGACCCGTTCATTCCCTTTGTTCTCCTCCAACTAACCTGATAGTCTGCGTTGCTCTGTGATGTAGAGTAAGATAAATAACCACAACTATTTTTAAGAGACTTTAGAGCCAAGTGGAGTCAGACTTGAGCTTGACAAAGCAGAAAGAGTGGCTGATAAGGATCCTTTACTTAAAACAGGCCCTCGAGCACAGGTAAATCCCTTCATACCGAAGCATTTTTACAATACGCCTTCTCTAAAAGCTTTCAGTGAATGAATGTCTAAAATAAAAGATTTACCAAAGGAAAGCACAGAGAGGATTTGCAAATAACCAGTAGCTAAAGTTTAGAGAAATATAAATGTTGGGTCATAGTGCCAAATACAACAATCTAACTTTAAATGTGCTCAGTTGAATAATATCTGCTAAAGACGGAGTTTTAAAAAGCTTGAGAAAAAAACAAATTTATTATAAACTGGACAAAATTCTCAAATGAGGAATGAAGAATTGTATCTGTTGTTTAAATTGTTTAATTTAGGCTTTTTCTTGTTGAGCAAATCAATGTTGTTTATTTTTCTGTGCAATACCTCCACCTAGTGTGCAAATTTGATATTACATCTTTTTGAAAATACAGGGACATGGCGGGCAGGTGCTTTTCTTAAACTTTACTATTAGATATTTCGAGGTGTTGAACTGCTGGTTGGGTATTTTATGAAATAAAGGACATTCAAAGCTCTTCTTTGACTGGCTTTTGTTCTGTTCTCTGTGTCAACATGATCCCACACTGCTTCAAAAATGTTGCAACCCATGCTTGAAGGAGGCCGGTCCATGACTGATAGTGCTGCACTGTGTGTTTGGTACGTTTTCCCAGCATCGTATGTTTAAAAATTAAACCACTGGCTATCAGATTCTGATATTGAATGGTGGATCAAAATCTGACAGTACTTTTCTAAGGTCATAATTCCATCAGTTTGGATAGGATCTCCCACACCACTGGCTGATAATGCAGCCACAAACCATGACAGCCTCCACTGCGATGGCTGTAGACACTCACTGTAGTACCTCTCTCCTGACTACTTCCAACACCTTTGAGATAATTTGAACCAAAAATTTTAAAGTTGGATTCATCACTCACATCAGAGCTATTGTCACTGATTTTAGTGCAGCACTTGTGTAGTTTGGGATGCCTCGGCTTTTTCTCTCTTTCTTAAGAACACCTTCTTGACAGCCACACTTCCACTGAGACCATTTCTGATGAGGCTTCAGTGAACAGTATGAGATACATATTTTTCTTCCTATTTCTTATTAGGACACGTGACGTTCAGATACTGTTCATCTGCCGTAGGTAGCTTTTGAGTCAGCAATGCCTTCTTCTGTCCTCTATTTGTCGAGTTTCCTCAATGTTTTAAACACATTTGACACCATGCTGAGATATAGCAAGTTTCTGGGTAAAAGCTCAGCTTGTTGGTGCAAAAATACTATTGTACACCCGTCAAACTGTGTTTTATCTTGGACATTTTTCATTCAGTGAACTAAAGAAATGAGAACAGATTAAAAACAAACAAAAACAGGCTGCTCGTAACAAAATGCCCAGAATCTACAAGATTTTGAAAGTTATGTTATGTTGTGTAGACACGACACTGGCCAATCCTTTTAGTTTCATAGGTCCATGTTAAGTGGCTTAAACAAAACCACTCTTCTGAAAATGGTCAGGTATGAGGACTGGACTGGAAATGAGTGATCAAGCAGCCAAGAAGAACCCTGCACAGTATTGAAAGTCTGCAAAGGAAGAAGTCTGAGACAAAGCAGAGTTTCTTTTTTACTATTTTATTGCTTAAACTGCCATCTGGAACAATCTATACCAAAAGGATAAACATCTTTGCACATACAGGAGGTCAAACTAAATACAGGACAGAATAGAAAAAGAATGGTCCTCTTATAATCTGCAGCTCTCTGTGCTGCAGGCCTAACAAACTCACTGAAGGTCGGGCTAGCAGGAGTGACTGACTTCTACTGTAAGCCCAGGTTAGGTAAGCTAAGGCAAACTGGGACGACTGCAGTGTGGCTAAAAACGTTTTGGACTCAAACCAATGATGCAGCTATTTACACGAAAACAATATTCTGACAGAAAGGTGAAACCCTCACCCCTAACGGAGCCATTTCCCAGATGTGTTGTCAGTGGACACAAATCCACAGGTAAGCCACATCCGCAAGGTTTAACCTGAGGGTTAGGGGCATGATGATCAGATTTAAGCGTGAAGAAACATACACTCACATCCATGAGGTCTTCTCACCAACCTGACTACCCTGCAATCGGCACATAAAACCAAACACACATCTCAGCTGTAAGCGAGTACAAACGCTCTGAATGAGAACCAAAAGAAACATGATTACAGGTCATCTCTGCTAACAGACAGTGATGCAGGAATGTAGAGTCCAGAAGTCAACATCATGTGATTTGGTAAAGGTTTTTTTTTTGTCCGTTTGTTTGTTTTTTTTAAAAAGAAATATTTCATTTTATTATGGCATCTAAATAGTTGTGAAGCAGTTCAGCTAAGGAGTAACAAACCAAATATTCGACAGGGTTCCTGCGTCTGCAGGACTTTTTTTCCTTTCTTTTTTTTTTTTTAAATACACACTTCCATTCATACCAGATCACTGGATGCCTAAAACATCATGCCAGGTAAGCATAGAGAACAGGTCACAAGCTACTCTGATGAAAAGACAGCCACCTTTTCAAATAGGCAATAAGCAATGACACTAGTTTTAAATAAATATCCGCTCGCTCTGCCTGTCAACTCGCCTGTGCCGAGCTGTGAAACAGAAATACTTCAGATGTCCTGAAAAGTCCTTTAAAACCGCTTTGTACTCCCCGCTTCGATAAACCTTTAATTATCCCTTTGATCTATTTAAAAAAGTTTTTACCCATGACATTTTACACAATACAATTACATACTGTTTCATCAGTTGACAAGAAGAAGCATTTATTTTTACTTTGTGGCACTGGACACCTAAAATAGAATTTATGGAAAAATAAGTGTTTACAAAAAGACAAAGTTCAACATATTTTTTTTTAAACAATCACCATCACTCCAAACCATAAGTTTATCATTTAGTCAATGATAATAATATAACTAGGATCATTTTAACTATACTATAACATTTTGATTACAAACCATAGCAGAAGAGTGACCAAGTTATTTGGTATATACTAAAGAAACTGAATACTGAAATACACTTAATACTCTTTTTTTTGTCTTCCTTTCTTTTTATTTATTTATTTATTTTCCTCAGAGTAGTCAAGGCAGTTCTTGTATGGTCGTCCTATTGATTAAGATGACTACAGGGTGATAACTACTTCCTGTTTGGAACAGAGCACGCATTGCATTCCCACGGCTATGCATCTTTGCATTGAATGACAGTAATCAACATTTGGCACTAGCCTGGTAGCTGCACAATAAAAAATATTTGTTGTACAAGCTCTCTCGAACTAAAAGAGACATTGTTTTCTCGTCGTACCAATCAAACGGTAACCAAAGTCGAGCATTAGATCTTCACGCCCTCTACAGTTTCTCGGTTCTGCTCTCTCTCTGTGTAGTCAAGCTAATTGATGTCCAAAAAAAAAAAAAAAAAAAAGCCCGACAACAAAGGAAACTTTTCTTCACTTCAGTCTGCAACAAAAAAATAATAATTTTACTGAAAGCGCAATGTAAAGTCTGATTGTCTGTCTCATCAGTCTGAGAACCTTTCAGATCTCCCGCTTCGTATCGAAAAAAAAAAGAAGCTTAATCAGCAAATATATATATATAACATAAGTTACATGTGGTGTAACTGTGCCTACAAGGTAGCGTACAGCAGCTGGTACAAGCGCTGGTGAATGGCTTAAAAAAAAACAACAAAAAAACAAAAACAGTCACAGCAGCGTGACCGGTGGGAACAATAAAATGATTTGTGTGTGAAATTAAGAGTGGGAATGGGGGAACTGAAATCAGAAGAAGGTGACAGAAAGCAAAAAAAAAAAAAACTAACAAAAAAAGAAAAGCACTGGTGGACCCCTGGGTCTGAAAGGAGAGAAGAAGAGGTGGAGAGGGTGCGGCGGGGGGCGGAGAAGTGAGTGTGAGGAGAAATGCTCCCTCAGACAGACAGCGACACAAAGCTGTTGTACTGTTGGATGTTGCGTTTGAGGATGTCTGAGCAGGGACCCAGGACACGCTCAAAGCGAGGCCGATCGAGCTTGACGCACTTCAGGGGGCCGCGGGCAACCACGGTGGCGGCGCGGGGGCGGTTCATCAGCAGAGCAATCTCACCTGGGGGAAAAAAAAAAAACAAGTGTCACAGACTTAAAATTCAAAATTCATGAAAACATCCTTCAGTGTCACACACAGAGACATGTATACAGAAATAGTGTTGGTCATAGTCACAAAGATCTGTTTTTCCACCATTTTTAATGCTCCCTATCTTTTTTTTGTTACTTAAAATAAAAAACTACTGAGTTAATGGCATGACACATACTTACATACATGCATATGGGGCTGCTCGATTATGGCAAAAATGATAATCACGATTATTTTCACTGAAATTGAGATCTCGATTATTTGACGATATTTATTTAACAATAACAATGTATTGAATAATGACTTTAAAAATTGTCAAAAAATTATATAAAATAGTGTGCAAATACTGATAACAGTGCAAATGTTTGCAGTATAAAAAATAAATGAAAAATGTAAAGATCTATGTTTAGTGAACTTTGCAGTGTTGCTCTGTGGTGCAGCTACGACACTGTAGCAAAGTTTACACACTATGTCTACTTGATCCACGACTGACTCCGCGAACCCATAATGTTTCCACACCACTGAAGTTTTCTTTACCTCTCTTTTTAACCAGCAGCAGTCACTTTCCTCTCCAAATAACTTCTGCTTAGCTTTCCGAGCTTCCCTCGGGTCCTCTTAATCAGCTGTCCCCAACCCCCGGGCCTCGGACTAGTACCGGTCCGTGAGTCGTTTGGTACTGGGACGCGAGAGTTGAGGCTCAGGTGTGAAATGTATAGTAGTTCGAAATGCAGAGAGGTGCGCTCGATTTGCCACACGGAGCAGCGCGAGAGTAAAGCACGAGGGAGGGGCTAATAATCGGCTCAGTCATTTTTAATGATCGTTGAAAGCCCAGATCGTAATCGAGATTAAAATTCGATTAATTGAGCAGCCCTACATGCATATATATGTAAAAGACTCCTATGTAACACTTTAGTTCTTACCAAAGTAGTCTGATGGTCCTAATCTCCCAACTTCCACAAACTCCTCATTCTCTGAGCGACGCTGCAACACAGCTGCAGAGCCCTGAAAACACACAAACATCAGCTTATCATAAAAGTGCTTTTAATACATTGATGAATCAAGACTGCGACTAATGAGGGTTTCAGTTGTTTAAACCAATGCTTATTTTGTTCAGTGGTACATTTTTATAAAAACTACAGTAAAGAAAAAACAAAAACGTTGTAACAACTTCATAACAACCTTAAAGCTAAATATGTTCATGTTGGAATAATGCAGATAAAGAAAAACTAAGCTGGAACTGAAATATTCCACAGTGTGGGATTATTCCATTTTTTCCTGTGAATTAACTTTCTGACACTAACCGATCATCTGTCAATCACATGCATGACCACAAGAGGGAGTGTGTGGAAAACAGAGGTCAACAACTGTAGAGCAGCTTTGCATGATTCAGTTTAAA